AGTTGTATTCAGAAAGAATAAACCAGTTTTATTTAAGAAAGGACTTGTATAGCTAAAGTTTCTTCGGAAAGATTTTTTACGGAAAATTAACTAACGAACACAGACGTAACAATATAATAGACACATATTTTTAACTTTTTTGACATTGTATGCACTGTACGCCTAATCATGTCAAATGACTGAAGAATAAAATAAAGCAAATGCAAAAATAAACATAATAATTGAAGATAGACAAACAGTAAAAGACAGATAAATACATAATTACTTTCTATTTTCATTGATTTCATCATGATTGTAAAGCACTAACCAGTGTCTTGATTGCTGTACATGCTAATAGTTGCTGTACTGCCACAAAAGCAAGGCATAATGGGATTTCTTTCACGAATGGCTGCCATTTCTGTTTTTTTTCACGTGCAAATGTCTGATACAATAAACCATAATGAATGATCCTCCATGTGATCTGGATTATAACCTGGAAGTAAAAAATATATAAGTAAAATGGCATGTTCCACTCCAATTTCGTAATATATATATAACCTTTGTTTTAACACCAGTAGTTTTTCAGAACAGGATAACAGATGAGAAACTAACTGCTAAATTTTTTGGTCAAATTAGACTACTGACTTCAGAAATATGTAATACATTTTTTCTCTCTCATGGTGAGAAACAGTACATTTTTTTTATCATTCACTCTTAACATATTATTAGCTATCGATATTTCAGTATTTGAATTATATCAAAGAAAATAATCTTTTCGTATTTTCATTTTACAAAATTGTTTTTGTCAGTCCTTTCGCTGAAGGTTAGTTTTTTTTTCTCGTGATTTCTTCAATTTTGTAAGAGCATTTAACACAAGTTCTCTTTACAACACAGAAAATCCAGCTAGATCAAAATATAAAAATCTAAGTTAGCCCCTTTATTTCCAGTGCCCATATATGATCAATATACAAATATTTGCCATTTTTGGATGCTCTATAGAATCTGATCACCTAAAATGCAACAATCACAACTCGTATATCTGCATCTATACAAGACAGTTTTATAAGCTTGTTAAACTGTGTAATTCTACCCTATAAATTCTATTCGAGTTATATTGTACCTCAATAACTTAATCCTGTACGTTTTTTTTTAAATCTAGCGAATATGAATTGTTGTTGTTGAAGGGGGGGGGGGATGGAACCCATAAAAGTGTTAAGCCTACAATTTGAAATAAATTTTACATGATTTCGGCTATGACGTTTCTCTTGATCTTTGTTTTCTATGTGAAAAACAGAAAAGACAGGTAAATAAATAATTACTTTCTATTTTCATTGATTTCATCATGATTGTAAACCATTAGGCAGTGTCCTGATTGCTGTACATGCTAATAGCTGCTGTACTGCCACAAAAGCAAGGCATAGTGGGATTTCTTTCACGAATGGCTGTCATAATGGGAGGTTTGTTTGTTTTTTAAGTTATGCAGAAAGCTACACAATGGGCTATCTGTGCTCTGCCCACCTCGGGTATCAAACCCCGGTTTCTAGCGTTGTAACTCCGCAGACATACCGCTGTGTCACTGGGGGGGGGGGGGTAATGGGAGGTTAATAATATTAAAAACGAACTTATATCAAATACAATCTAACCATAATCTCGTGACTGATTTGTCGATTATACAAATAATAGTAAAATATATGGAAAACTGTATTATAGTATTGTGGAACTTTAGTTAAACAAGTAATAACAATGTAGTAAAATACCAAAACTAATACAATTGCACAAAGTCAGTTTTTGTTTATGTACAATATCTTCATGTACAAATGTTATTCGTGGTAAAAGTATTTGTAGCTAAACATTTAATAAATTAAGTCTTTGATCTGATGCGTTTCTATTAGTTTAAATAGCCTTTCAATTACCTTCGTCATCTTATAGCAATAGTTGTAATGCTAATTTTCTAAAATTACGTTCTTGGTTTCTAAAGTGTATATTAGTAACATGTGTGTTTTGTAATTAAGAGATAATAAAAACTGACTCCATTATCATTACGATAAAGTAAGCTTTCGCATTTTACACCGCTAGAACAGAAAGTCATTTTAACAAAGCGGTTACACGGAAGGTCCAGGGCTTACCACCCCCTTTTACACAGCCAAAAAATAGTCAAGTTTAGACTTTGTTACTCCCTTCAAGAAACGCCCTAAATTACGTTTGCTTGTTTTGGACATCCGCCCAAGGTTACACAAGGGCTGTTAAAGTTACTTATTGTTATGTTAAGGTCCAGGGCTTACGACCCCCTTTTACACATCCAAAAAATAGTCAAGTTTAGACTTTGTTACTCCCTTCAAGAAACGCCCTAAATTACGTTTGCTTGTTTCGGACATTCGCCCAAGGTTACACAAGGGCTGTTAAAGTTACTTATTGTTATGTGAATAGTGTTTTCCAGGGAAAGGAGGATGATTAATAGTGATTTTGAGCCCTTGAGGCAACAAGGTTTAGCCAAAAAAAATCATTATGGAAATACAATATAGCAGTTCTGAATTACTGACAGTAAAATGAAAAGAACCTGTTTAAACATTTAGTTTTCTTTTTACAAAATATACCATCTTTAAGTTTTAACAAACCAACTTTTTACAAGGTAATTCAGTTAGAAAATCGTAATAATACAAATATAATGGAAAAAAAAATTGTAACGCATTCTTAACCAATACTAACATTAAAATATATTGATTACATAAGGGGTGCGAGATAGCCCTGTGATAGAGCTTTGCACATAGGAGCATGTGCGACACAACAGAGTATTCTCCACACTTTAAGATATGTGTTATAAGAGTGAGAAAGAGTCAATTCTTTAGCGTGATTGATGAGTGATAGGGTGATATTGACTTTTTTTCTGGTCAGTAGTTCGATATTAGTGTGGCGTCAGATAGCCTTAGTAGCTTTGCCATAAAATATTGAACACATACTAAACAAATTATTTTTTTACAGTAGCTAAAGCCACACGGTAATGAAAAAAGAAAAAAATATATCACAGGATATCAGTGACATGCCTCCATTTCGGAAAGAGCTCATTAATTAATTAGTAAGTGTTACATCCATCTCTAGGATATTCATATAGAAAGATAGATATTCATTTTACTAGAAATATTACTATCAAAACGAAATCGGTTTTGTGAGTTTTTTCGTATTCCTGTGTTCTTGGTCCGAGGGCT